CAGGTGTAGGGGTGCGTGCCTGTTATCCTAGCACTTGGGAGGCTGAGGCAGGAAGATCACTGTGAGTTCAAGGTCAGCCTGTGTTACACAGTGACTTCAAGACCAGGCTGAACTACACAGAGACACCTTGTCTCCAATAAAAATTTTTTTTAAAAATCCTTTCAGAGGGACACTTAACCCATTATGTGTGAGGCTCTGGGTTCAATCCCCAGCACTGCAAAAAACACAAACTAGAAGGACCTTTAAGTGGTACAGGCTATGATACTGTGTAGGATGAAGGTTCAATTTGGTCAGACGATTTTATCATTAAACACTAGACTAGAATGGTACATTTGGTAATCTCACCTATAAAAGAAGAAACCCAACATCATTGCACACCATACAGAGCACCATTGCTATCTGAGACTGTAGATTATGCAATCATTTTCTTTTTTTTTTGGAGACAGGGTCTCACTGTATAGCTCAGACTGGCCTTGAACTCACTATGTAGTCAAAGCTGGCCTCAAACTCATGGCAATCCTCCTGCCTCAGCCTCCTGAGTGCTGGGATTACAGGCATGCACCACCACACCCACCCTGCAATCATTTTCTTTAAATGACATTTCAAAAGTCTCAGTAAAACTCACACTCTGATCTGACGAATAGGTCCGTATTTCCCAAATATATCATACATTTCTTCTGCTGTGATTTTGTATGGCAAGTTTCTTATATATAAAATTCGATTAACTTCAGGTGGAAGCCGAATCTAAAATGAGAAATATGTATAGTCATTATAATGAAGGCAAAAGTGGTACAATATAAGAAGAAACTCTCAATGATACACAGTAGTAGAAAGTCAAGAATGAGAGGTAGAATCTGGTGCTCCGGAGAATGCTATGCTCTTCAGAAAAGTGAGAGAGCACTGGTCTTGGTGAGACCGTTAGTCGGACTGCAAGGAGACATGGAACAGTGCTTCCAAATCCAGGCTTTTGGTCACTATGGCTTAACAGCGATTTCTAGTTTCACCTAAAAACTGTTGATTCCTCAGGCATCTAGAAGAAAAGGGAACTGTTCTTATTTGCTAAACAAAAGACTTCTACTGATAACCTAGGAACTTCCTGTAGCATGAGGCCTCCTCTCTTACAGTTACAGGCTCTTCCTCCCACTGGCTTCTCTTGTTCAGATGCTCCTGTCCTGCCAGTCCTTACAGAAAACAATACATGCATTTAAATTCCTCTTCATTCATTCAACACATTTACCAAGTGCCCGTTCTGTTTTTATTTTCCAAAAAAAATAATTTTTATTGGCATATTTTAGATATATATAATAATTACATTGAGTATAAAGAATTTGTACCTGTACATGATAGAACTTGATTCTTTTATTTCATTCCCGTATCCTCCGTTTAAACATTTCTTCCCCTCCTTATTTACATTCTTTCTTTTTTTTCTCATTTTTTATTTTACTTTTCCCTTCCTTCCTTTCCCCCTCTAAAAAGTTATCTAACTTTTCTTCTTTTTTTTTTTCCTTTTGGTCTTTTTGAGACAGGGTCGCACAATGTAGCTCAGGCTGCCTTCAGTCACTTTGTAGCCCAGGCTGGCCTCAAACTCACAGCAATCTTCCTGCCTCACCTCCCCTGTGCTAGGATTACAGGCATGATCTACTACGCCCAGCTCACTAAGTGCGCTTTCTGGTTTCTGTTTTTGTTTTGTTTTGGTTTTTGTACCAGGAATCAAACTCAACACCTTGCGTTTGCCAGTCAGGCGCTGTGCCGCTAAGTTATATCCCCAGCCCGCGCCCTTTCTGTTTACACTGGTTTAGATACTCCAGATACACAGTGAAAGCCAGGCACAGTTGTGCAGCCTGTAACCCCAGCTGAGCAGCTTGTAACCCCACCTGTGCTGCCTGTAATCCCAGCTGCTCTAGAGGGAGAGGCAGGAGGATTCCAAGTTCACTGTTAACCTGGGCAATTTGGTAAGACCCTGTATCAAAATTAAAATTAAAAAGGGCTCAGCAGGACACCAGCCCTGAGTTGGATCTTTGGTACTGGGGGATTTAAAAAAAAAAGTAAGGAAGAAAAAATACACAGTGCAAAGGAAAAAAAAAGGTAAGGTTTCTGCTTTCTCTGAACATAACAGCTTTCTCTTTTATCCTTTTTCTTCCCTTCAGGCAAACATAAAAGAGAAAGAAATCTGTACTCACTGAGTCAAACTCTTTACTTCACTGACACCCAACTAAGCTTTCACCTTAGCACACTGCTAGAAGTGCTTTTACTTATTAAAACCTTTAATTTTAATGTTTGAGTCTCAAACTTTCTCTGTGCTCCTGACTCTTTCTTTTATTTCTTTTTTTCTTTTGGAGACAGGGTCTCACTAGGTAGTCCAAGATGTCCTTAAATTCTCTATGGTACTAGTCTGTCCTCGAACGCCCAACCCTCCTGCCTCAGTCTCCCAAGTGCTGGTATAACAAGTGTGCACCACTTGACCACTCTTGGCTCAACTATTCCCTCCTAACTCTGGCTATTTCTTTTTAAGTCTTCTTTGATATTAAACTATGCTGTTCCACAAGGTTTTGCCGTTACTTTTTTTTTTTTTTTTTTTTAGCACAATCCTCCTGCGTCAGCCTCCCAAGTTCTAGCATTACAGGCCATTACTTCTTTTGGATCTGTTATATACCCTGCTTGACGTGCCACACTTTTTAATAAAAGTTGATTTCCCTCAAATGTGTATCTCCCATCCAAATCTCTCTGTGCTCCCTGTTAATATACACAATTACATAGTACATCTAAGTCTAATCAGTAACTATTAAACTGATAATCACTTTTGACATTAGGTATTATATTAATGGAAGAATAAGATCTTTATTCCCTGCCCTCAAACCGGCAGTGGTGACAAATTAAGTTTTAGTTCAAGATTCCAGGTTAAGTTTAAACAGACAACACCACCAGACAATCACAATACACCTCTCTCCTCACATCTTGCCACCATCACTCCCTCCATCTGAATTTGGTTGTAACCTTCCTTGCCCACCCCAAGAGATCACTCTGGCTCTTGAAGAAAACAGACAGGACCAAGTGGTAAGTACTTTATATTCCTATTACTATGCTGAACCTGTCAAATGATGTTCATCTGTGTTCACTTACTTTCCCTGTGATTATCCCAATCCTTCATCTACTGGAAACCTTTACTCCTGTATTTAATCTTTCTTCTGTATCACGTTTCTCCCATTCTACTGGAGTGTTCTCACTGGTATACAAATAAGTTTATATCTAGATGCTTAAAGAAAAAAAAAAACAACTCTCACCCAATTTCTCTACTCTTTATTTATATGAAAACTCCCACAAAGAGCTCTCTGCTGTCTTCATTGTTTTCATCCTCCAGTTTTTCATCCTACTGCAACCAAGTTTTCATCCATTGAAATGATTCCTTTCACCAGGGTCACCAAAAATTATCTCAACACACCCAATGGTCAATTATCTGCCTTCAGCTTAGTGTACTTCTACCAGTCTTACAGTTGCCCACTCTTCCTAGAAATTTTATTTTTAAAAGGTTTCCGTAACACTCCACTCTCCAAAACTAGACTATAAGCAGGACTTGTCTTATTATTCACTGCTATATTCCTATCCCTAAGACTAGAGTCTGAACATAGTAGGTGGTCAATAAATATAACTGTGGATCACTTAGCATCTCTAAAGTACACAGCAGGTGCTCAAAAATGTTGCTGGATTAATATACGAACGAAAGGTCCTAAAAGCCCCATGGTGTGACAGGACCCCCAGGCTCTCGGTACCAGTGAGCCTGTTACTTACCGAGGACTCATCTATGCTCTGGACTTTTGGGTCAAGACTCTTAAGGCCAATAGCCGGGCGTGATGGTGCACGCCTGTAATCCCAGCACGCGGGAGGCTGGGGCAGGAGGATGGTTGTGAGTTCGAGACCAGCCTGGGCTAAAAAGTGAGCGCAAGGCCAGCCTGAACTGCACAGCGAGACCCTGTCTCAAAAAGAAAAAAAAAAAGACTCTTAAGGCCAGCTCCTAGTACAGGTCAAACACCAGAGGCAGAGAGCCAGCGCTGTCACCGACACTAGGAGACAGAAGGGGAACTCTCAAAGGGGCTGCAGAGGAGCTGCGGCGCGAGGCGCACCCCCTTGAGAAAGGGAACAGGACAGAAGCCCGTCTGGCAGGGTAGAAATTCGGGCCTTCCGCGCCTCGGAGAGGGCATACAAGAGCGCTCGGACTCTCCTCACCAAGTCAGGCAGCGAAGTCCTCCCCCTCCTCAGCAAAGGCCTAGTACTCACGTTCGCCCTCTTGGCCGCTTGCATCGCCATCTCGGCGGACTGATGAGGTTATCGCAGCAAACAATGGAACTCCCCGGACACCTCCCGAGCTCGCCCGCTTCGAGGGCAAACCTGCGTCAGATGTGGAATACAGCAGGGCTTTGCCGGAAGCGGTTACAACACCCCGGAACACCGCCGTCTCACGGCAGGACGTGCCGACGCGTGTGCCGCCTCGAAGAGTCCCACGGCCAAACTAAGAGGTGGAGAGAGATGTTAAGTCGGAATGTAGAAAGGGGAGCACCCAAGGTACTTCCGGCTGCTGGGCCGGAAAGGGCGGGGCGTGCCCTCCTAAAGGCGCTTGCTCGGGCCCTTTAGCTGAGGGAGTGGGAGGAGTCTGAAGGGGGAAGGGCGGAGTTGGGCGGGGCCCAGGTGAGTAGCGAGAGGGGCGGGGCCTACGCCCAGGTGCCGGAGGAACACGAGGGTGGGCTTGTCCCTGAAACTGGGCAGGGCGCGCAGCCGATCCTCCACGGTCATGTTGCCTGTGTTGCGGCTGACGCCGTAACTCTCGAACCCGCAGGCGTGTGGAGACTCAGCGATGGTCCTGACTCCCGCCGCCCCCGCCACGGCTGCCCCCGCGCTCCGCCCTGCAAGGCCACTGTTTATTTCCATCCGAGAATGAACCAGGCCCGTCCCTACTTAGCTTCTGAGATCAGACCAGATCTGATTAGACCAGAAGGCGCGTTCAGGGTGTCATGGCCGCGGACATTATTTCGTTAAAGCAGTTTACACCAATCAGTGAACGAGGCAGACCTGGGAGCGAATCCTCTCCGTGTTAGCTCCGGGAAACCCTGGGGCGGCCGTGTCCGGTACCACCCCCTCCTCCTCCAGGTAGGCAGCTTCGCTTTGTCCACGTTCCCGTCAGCCTGGGATGACGGGTGCTGATAGGCCACCTGGACTGCAGTCACCGGCAGACGCCGTCCAGCACTGGCAGAGGCGTTGGGGCCCTCCTTGGAGAAGCCCGGCAGAATTTGCCCGGGAAAAGCTTTCGCCAGCATTTGCTCGTACTAAGATAAAAGCAGACCATCAGCCTAAACTATAAGAGATCCAACCCTGTCACCCCTATGCGGCTGAGCCTTAATGCTCTCCGTTACACTGCACACACTGAAAAGCGCACTTCATTTCCCAGCATGCAGGTGCATGCCCCACACATGTAACCTCTTTTCTGCACCAGGTAAAGACTGAAGGCTGGAGTAAGACACTAGTGTCATTGACAGCCTCTGGGCCACTTTTCAATAAAAGTGCCACAGAGGAGGCGAACACAGACAGGACTCACATAATGTGAGAGCAAAAGGAGTGTGGAAGTGTTGTTCTTCCCCGGGAGGTAGGACACCCCAGGGTGGGAAGCATTCCCAAAGCTGGCTCTGGCTAGAATGCCACACAGAAGGTCTCGGGAACATATAACCTGTGGAAGGTAGAAGCATGCAAAGCAAGTCTGGAACTATTAGAAGACTTCCTAATATGGCCAATGCTTTGTTCATTCTGTAAGACAAAAAAAAAGAAAAAAGAAAAAAAATATATATATATATATATCTCAGAGAGGAGCTACATACTCTTTCCAAAATGCCAAGGCTTCTGTTGACCAATCTCCATCAGTTCTCTGAAATTGGATTACCTATTTATCCACAAGGTGGCAGTTTTCTTCACGGGCTCCCTAACCTGTAACCTGGCTTCCTTTCTGGACATCATGTAAATGATACACACTTTTCTGGGGAATAGTTAAATCAAATTTTCTTTTCATTCATGACTCACCTTTTTGTACCTGGATCTCGGCAGACTAGTGATGAGCTTCCTCGTTTAAAAAGTAGTTTTGAGGGGCTGTGGATTTAGCTCAGCAGCACAGCGCCTGCCTGGCAAGTGCGAGGTTGTGAGTTCGATTCCCGGTACCAGAAACAAACAAAAAACCAACAAATAAAAAAGAAAAATAAAAAGTAGTTTTGAAAACAAACGGAGGCCCACTGTGACCATCAAGAGCCAGGCAGTTGACATTCTTCTCCCAGTAGGATTTACCTCTGCAGTCTAGAATTAGGTTCACTCCAACACATTCTAGAGAAAGTACACAAGACTGTGATGCCATCAGACATGGAAAGCTTGGTGCAAAATAAAGACGATAACCAGGCATGGTGGCGCACGCCTGTAATCCCAGCACTCGGGAGGCTAAGGCAGGAGGATCGTTGTGAGTTCGAGACCAGCCTGGGCTACAAAGTGAGTTCAAGGCTAGCCTGAACTGCACAGCGAGACCCTGTCTCAAAAAGATTGAAAAAAAAAAAAAAAGATGATGGTGTATTTGTGCACATATGGGTACAAATACATATGAGTGGTAAATCTATAGGTTGGAACTAGAATCACTGGTCATGGAAACATTATTGTAAATGGAGTCTGGGTAATAAAATGCTTATGATAGCATTATAATATATTTCATCTTCTATGCTCCTCAGCCACAGCAAGAGGGTAGTGTGGCAACACCATGAGCTGGTACTGGTTCTCACTCCCAAAATAAGTATAGTCTCACTGGCACCCAAGTGAAAAGAGAACAGAGGAGGTCCATCCCAGGCTACAGGGCCTATTGTTCACTCCTAAGTTAGGAAGCGCCTGCAGTGGGTTATAGAATCATAGGCATGCTGCACTCAAGAGGCTGAGGCAGGAGGATTGCTGAGAGTTCAAGGCCAGTCTGGGCTACATAATGAGTTCAAGTCCAGCCTGGACTACACAGTAAGACTCTAGCTCAAAAAAAAAGAAAAAACAGAGGCTTACTAACTTTGTTTTCCCCTCTTCTTTTTTACCCATATGAAAAATAGAAAGGGATGAGCCCAAAATATCCAGATTTGACTGCAATACAGAGGGATGCACATCTACTCATTCATTTAGAGAGCTGCTGCCCCCACCCTACTAAGACCTTCTCCAGAGTGGTCTCACAGAGCAGCTGTTTGGAAAGAGGAGGCCCTAGGTAATCCCAGGCCAACACCATGTGGTTATCCAGTGTTTCAAGCATATACGAATCTACAATGGGCATGGTGGCACACGCCTGTAATCCCAGCACTTGGGAGGTTGAGGCAGGAGCATTGTTGCGAGTTCAAGACCAGCCTGGGCTACAAAGTGAGCTCAAGGCCAGCCTGAACTGCATAGAAGACCCTGTCTCAAAAAGAACAACAACAACAAAAAAACACATATGAATCATCAGTGTCAAGAATGCAGGTGGGCAAACACTGGAATACTAGGATTTGGCTAAGGGAAGCTGAAGTGTTTTCAGTAAAGCCAGGACTGGTCCAGAGCACTGGTGCCCTTGGGGCTGGTAAGGATTTTATTTAATTATCTCTTAAGTTCCTGCTGAGATGCAGAAGCAGTTGTTTACCTTTGGTGAATTTTAGTGTTGCTTCAGAAAAATCCTCTTTGTAATTGAATCTAGCAGCTGCTCCAAGATTTTCTGCCATCCGAAGTTTATGCTGTGATGAGAAGCATAGCACCAGCCCTCCAGGCCAGCTGGATGGCAGCTGTGCCAACACTACTTGATCCTGCATTGATTAGCACAGCCTCTCCAGCCTGAACATCTCCTGGGACAGAAAGTATAGGAACCACTTTTGAACTGCATCATGGTCCCATACAGACTTTTTCTACCATGACAACCTGACCTGTAGAGAGTGGCTGAAGCTGGAAATTGGCCACATGTGTGGGGCACAGCAGGAGCAGTCCAAGGGGGCAAGCCATTAGTAGTTACTAGGCAACGCTGTGTCACATGATACTAACTTTTTCAAATGTGTAAATAAACCCCCCTCTGGTGGTTGAGCAATTTCTTTTCCTCCCATCCTGAGAGACAGGGCTCCACCTGACCTCAGCTTTTGTTTCTTATCTCTGTTTTTTTTTTCTTAACTTTGTTTTTCCCATCGTCTTGACCTCCCCCATCACCAACATTGAGAGCTGCATGGTAAGCAGCACTGACCCTTGAACTAAATGTCAAATCTTTTGCTTTCTGCAGGGAGCATGTTAATAATTTTTTTTTTTCTTATATGCCTCTGGTCAGAGTGGGAAATGATCTTTAGAAACAGGGTTATTAAAAAAAAAAAAAA